GTTGAGCGTAAAATTTGATCTATACATTGATTAGAATGTTTAATTACGTTTAGACTTGGTGAAATTATGTTTTAGAACCTTAAAATTTTGTTCTGGGTGTCAACACTTGCTTTTCCTCTTTTGTTTCTCAACATTTGGTTTGGAAGTGTCAACACTGGAATGGCCTAGGGTTGACACCAACAGCTTTGTGAGTTCTGGTGTAATATTCTGCTTCTTAGAGTTGACACCACGCCCTTCTGGGTGTCAACACTGTTAGGCTAGAGAAAGACCTGGTGTATTATGCTTTTGGGGGTGGACACCGGAGTAGTTCAAGGTTGACACCCTACTTGTTTTGAACTTATTCCTTCGCAACCTTGTATGCCGGTGTCGACACCTCTGTAGACACCCCATTTTTGACCGTCCTCAAGACTTGGACGTCATCGTTTGAACACTCGATGATCATCCATGTTTGTGTTCATTTTGAGTTCTCGGAAGTCTCAGTTGCGCGCCTTGCCTCAAGATCTCTCAACTTGTTTGTTTTGTGCTTGGTTGTGGACCAAACACTTGTGTTTTTGGCTTCTAAGGGTAGGAAGTGGCTTGTTAGCCATCCTCTCAACCCACCGGCCATGGCCTGAGGCCACCAGCCTTGTTTTCTTTTCACCGGCCAAATGTATTGGTCGATCGGCCACTTTTTCTGGCCGAGGCATTTTCTTTGCCTTTTTCAAGCATTGTGCATGCCAGCTGTGCCAGCTTGTGAGCACAGACTCTGCCCTCCATACACGTGTATGGAGGGATTTCATCCTTACACTTAGCTTCCCTTGGAAGCTTGGAATTGGATTTCCTATAAGAGGAGGGCCTCCCCTCCCTTTCCAGAGGTTGAACAATCTGAGATATTAGAGATATATCACTCTCTCTCTATATCTCATTATCTCTCTATATTTGTGTGTAATAGTGTTCTAAAAGGTGTTTTTGTTCATATTTTTGCACTAAGGCACCTAGTGTTACACTTTCCTTTAGTTACTGAGGTGCTAAGGAGTTGATTTCAGAGTTTTTGAGTTGGTTTTGATCAGAAGGAGGTGCTGGAGTTGGTGTTCTTGAAGTGTTCTTCAAGGGTGAGAAACTACTCTTTTATTTTCCATTTTTGCTTAAGCTTTTAGCAATACTTGCATACTGTTTTAAGCTTAGTGTCCAACTGAAAAAAGTTCTATAGTTTCATGCTTGAGATGTTTGTTTAAGGTTACTTTTGGGTCGGGGGTTGCCTGGCCTTGTTTGGCCTTATTTTGTGACCTTCTTCTTGAGCTTTGAAACCTTTTTGTTTTGACCTTCTCACCACTGAAATCCAAAGGATTTTCAGTGGTGGAGAAGTGGTTTTGAGGTCTTGAATAGGGGAGGGACACCCCCCTCCCTTTGTGTCTCATTTGCTTGCATTATTAGCTCACCATAATAGCATGTTTGCTTAGCATGTTTTGGTCCTATTTCAGCAAGTATTTGGTGTTATCTTGGCATGATATACCTCTGTTTTACGCTGGTTTGTTGGTCTCTTGCATGCACCATGTACTTGCCTTGTAATCCCTTTTATTGCCTTAACATGTATCTTGCATTTGGACCACCATGCTTGCATATTTCGGCTCAACTCCAAGGAACGTTTAGTCATGTTTCACCATGTTTAAGCTCTGTTTGGTGTCGATTTGATCATATATGCATTGCTTCGTATAGCCTTAGTTCATCCTAGCTTGTTAAGCTTTGTGCATCGAGTTGCTAGCATGCATTATTTTGACTATTCTTATGATTTGGCATCATTTGAAATCACATTTCAGTCCATGTAGTGTAGTCACAAACTTATGTTTGCCATCTTTTCAATGCTTTGAAGAGTTGTTGTTTTGTGCCTTAAGATTGGGTCATTGTGTATGTCTCCATGATTAGGTCTTTGGGGTGCCATCTCATTGGGTTTTGAGGCTTATTTTGACATATTATAACTCTGTTTTTCATTGCATAATTCATGCCATGTTCAGTTGTGATAGGTGTAGTGTAATGCATCATTTGTAGCCTGGCATGCCCTTTGTTTTGTGCCTATCTTTTAGCATGTTTTGGCTTTGTTCCATACATGTTCTAGCTTTGTTTTGGCCTACCTTGGGACTATTTTAGGTCTCCTTGGCCCTTTGGGGCTTGGTTGATATGGCCATGGCTTGAGCCCCTTGGCTTGTCTCAAGTTTTGGGTTCCTTTGTATGCCTTACTTGCATGGCTTGGTTGATTTGGCATCATCCCTTGCACATTTTTAGAGTTTATCATGCTTGTTATTTGTCCATATTTGTCTCTTTTAAATGTGCTTAAGAGTCGACCCTTTTTATGCCTAAGTATTGGACCCTTACATGTGCATGTTTGGATGCGTTTTGTCCATCATTCCTTGGCACTATGGCCACTGTTTTGGTATGGCTGAGGTCTGCCCATTTCAGTTTAATTCCATTGAGCATGTTTGCTTTTCATGATATTTGCATGTTTGTATTGTATCATGTTTGCATGTTTGGTATATCGCATGATATTTAGCTAATTGTATTACATAACATTGTTGCATACTTGGCGTGCCCATGTTATATTAGCTTAACTTGCATTGCATTTGGAATGCTTGCTACCTTAGTCTTGTGTGCATACTTGAGTCCTATTGCATTTGGCATGCTTAGGTTGCATAACATTGCTTTTCCATGTTGCATTGTATTGGCATACATGCATTGCATTGTGTTTGGTTTGGGGTGTTAAACCAAACACGAGGAGCGAGGAACGCTCGTATTTGAAGTGACGAAACGTCCCTCAATCCTCGGTCGCTGATACTCTTGATCCAACATGATAGAGTTCTAGGCATTCATGTGTTTTGTTGCATTAATTCCACATTGATTTGCACATTTGGCACCTTTGGCCATCATGTATTGAAATGCGTGATTGGTGGCCCGAGGGTCGAGCACTATGCTCCCTTGAGTTCATAACATGGTAGGGAGGGTGGTCGTGCACACATTGTCTTATAAACGCCTTGCCATGCACTGTTTGTCCTCTGCTGCAGCAAAAACAGCATTCTGTAGGAAGAGATGGCTGGTCGGCCATCTTCAGTGCCGGCCGGCTACCAAAATCTGGCCGAGAGCCTTACAAATGGTCGATAACCATTTTCAAATGGCCGATGGTCCTATCTCTTGGCCGGTGACATCCCACAGTGCTTGGGGAGTGGTTCAGAAACATCCTTGGGACTTATGTAGTTTTTAGAGGAGCAAAACAGTGCAAGCAGAGGCAACATGTGGCATGGCAACGAGTTTCCGAGTGAGATGATCGAGTATGCATCATTCAATCATTTCGAGGTGGAGCTGCAGCGGCCTCATTTTGTAATTAATTTGTTAATTAATTAAGGGTTTGTAATAATTAATTAGCTAGGATAGTTGATTAATCATTTGGTTTATATTATTTATTCGGACCCTCCGTCGAGAGGGCGAATTTGTAATAAGTGTGCGTGCGTGTGTGAATGTCTTTCAACCCCACGTCTTTCTCCTTTTTACTTACCTGCTTTTGATGGTTAGTTTTAGGTTATGTTTCAATTAGCATACTTATGTTAGCATGTTTGCATACATCCATTCGTATTGCACGCACCGGGCTCGGCGCATCATACTAATTGCATAATATTTCAATTCCAACTTGAATACGTGTATCGAGTTGTCGCATTTCACATGCCACTCTTAGATTAGCCGAGCCTATTCCAGTTGCATTTTGCATGTGTTGCATTAGCCATCTTAACATGAATTAGGATCATGCATTGATTACTAACTAGTTCTTTATTTTGGCTCGGAGTACATTGTGAGTGTTTATGCTTTAGCATCTTGCATGTATGTAAGTGTTAACATGAAAGCATGCTTGCTATGAGGCTATTTGTTTATGTGATATAACTGCCTGAATGCCTGTGGGTGAAGGTTGGATTGTTTGAATTGGGACAATTCATTGAAATCCATATTTTAGCCTACTTGCGAGTAGCAAACTTCAAACTGTTTTCAAACAAACGAATACGCAATGCTTTGTTCCAAATTAGGCGATCTAGTCTATACTTGTGTGTTGTGCGCATCACTTAGTAAATTCTAGCTAATTAATTGGAATAAGAACACGTGTTTTCAAAAACGAGATATCATGTTTAGTACAGGCCGATCTTTGATCGGGCGAGCGGGGGTGCTCATAGCTGACCTTCCCCAATCGTACCCAAGTTCCCGAGCCGAGGCAACTTTGGTGATGACGAACACGTGGGCACGAGTCAGGGTTTCCTAAATTCCCCAAAATTAAAATATTTAGGTGGCGCCTCTGTATCTGCCAAAGCAGTCCATGTTTGACACTTCTTTCTTAAAAATCAGTTTTCCAAAACGATTTGCCGGATTTGGATTCTTTGGTGATTTATCGGTCTCGCATTGCACTTTGCGTGATAAGATTCAGAACCATGACATTTGAGTCCGAACTGTAGAAGCAAGGCCCTCGAGGGCGCGTCTACAACCTCTCTTCAAGGTGTCGACTGTAATGACCCCAAAATGCGTATAAGAAATCATTTTTATTTCCCTATGAAATGATGTGGTTTAATTTAATTATATCTATTAGAATTGAAGCATTATCAGTTGAGTTATGGACTTAAAATGGGAATTACCGACCTTTATGGGTTCAAAAATCAAAATTGAGTACTTGGACATGTTAATGGGAATTTTTGGAATTATTTGGGAAAATTAATTTGAAATCTAATTTGTCTGATTCATTAATGGACGTTTGGGTGATTAACTTTATACTGCAAATTAAAGGCCTTAAAGACTTCAGATACCGGAACAGGGGACATATTTATGATCAGCATAATTTTTAGAGTTATCTGGGAAGTTTAATTGAAATGTGATTTTGTGCGATTCGTAAGGGCGTGTTTGGCCCTTCCTATTTGTGGGAAGCTTTTATATATGCATATATGCCTTATGAGTTGTTGAACTCATCTATTTTGAACCAAACAAAAAATAAAAAATATCTAGAGAAAGGGGAAGGAGAACCGTGAGAGAGAGAGAGGGAGAGAGAGAAGAGGCAAAGCTTCTCCCTAAGGAATTCAACATCCATGGAAGCTTGAAGATGGTTGAAGAAGATAGAAGAGAGAGGAAAGATCAACCAAAAGCTTGGGAAAAATTGAAGAGACTAAGGGATGAACAAAGGTTTGGGTAAGGTATGTGGCTCTAATTACTAACCTTGTATAGAATCCATCTACTACTTGAAATCATGGATTGATATAGAAGATGTGAGCTTTGAACCCATGAACCTTGATTTTCTAAGAATTCCTTGATTGAAGAAGTAAAATCATTAAATTTGTTTATTGTGAGATTATGGTGTTTGATGAAGAATAATAATGTGAAATTGGTCATGTATTAAAGGGTTTTGGGCTTTGATTTACATGTAATTAAGGTTTGATTTTGAAAATGAGAAGGTGCTCAGTCAGATTCAAGGGGGGGCTGACCGGCCAGTAATTTTTGTACTGCCCTGTTGCAATAGAATGGAAACATAGCAAAAATAGAGTTTTTCCAGAGGATGTTTATCCTCTTTGCCTCTCCCTATCATGAAATTGATGAAGGGAGGAGTAGAATCGGTCCACAAATCATCAATGGTCGCAAGGTTGTTGCATGATGATCCATGAATCGATGAGATAAAGACTCAATGAATGGGTCATGGCTTTGCCTCCCGAACTCAGGAAAAAAAATGGGATTTTGGTTCTACTTTCTGCCGCTCGTGCGGTGAAGGGGGACCGCACGTGCGGCCCATGTCCGCTCGTGCGGAGGGGATTGCCGCACGTGCGGCCCAGACCGGAAAAAATGTCTGCTCAGTTTTGCATGCTCGACCCTCTGATATTTTTAGAATATTTTTTTGATGATCTTAAGATGATTGTAAATTCATGCGAAACGTGATGACTCAGGAAATGATTTAACAAGAAAAAGGGAACTAAATTGCAAGTTATGAATGTGTGCAGGACACGCTTCAGGAGGAACTAGCACGTCGTCACAACACTGTGAGTACTAGTACTATGATCGTACATTTACTCTCCGTTAATAACTCTTGTTACTAACGTTCTGCTCTTTGCAAGTGACTATGTTAACGTCTATGTTGGTTGGAAATCAATGTGAACGTTGAAAGAGTTTGCTACATCGGTACGACTCGGGAACTACTCTACATTCCGGTTATGGTTAATGGTTACCGTTAATGTGCTGTAACCTGTAAATTTCCTAGGAATCCGCATAAGAATTGCATACGAACTAGTACTACTGTGGTTGACATAAAGACATTATGAATGTAAGTCCCGCTCACTGGGAACATGATCTCCTGAATGTCCTATTAGGGACTCCTACAGTTTGGTTGGTTTAACATATGTTTTATGACATAGACATTTGCCTAAAATGGATTATTGGAATGAACAATCAGATAGAACTATGGGTTACTTGTGTATTAGTAACCGTTGAGAAATTATGATGAAGATAGAATTGACCTATAATGACTCAACCTGAGGAAAGAATTGAATACCACCAATATTGTTACATGACTTACGTTATGCTATGAACTGTTCTGTCCCTATGAATAGTACTGTAATGATTCATGCACTTCTGTGAATATTTATTATTAATACTCTGTTATACACAAGACAGCTATGTCAACTTGTAATAAAGCATGGAAGAAATTTATGTGCACCACCGTGTGACAGTATACTTAAGAATTTGGGATTATTTTGTACTATATATCCGTTTCGATTATCTGTTTCGACTATATTATGATATGACATGAATGGTTTGGTTTTAAAAACCTATTGATTTCGGATATGGAACAAAGTGCTGTACCGAACTAAGTGTTGCAGTGCGAGTCACCTCTAGAATCCGTACGAGACACCTCTTGAGTCCATATATATGTGAACCAGGCCTATGGTCGTTCTGTATCTCTTAGGCCTATGTCCATTCTGTATCTATTAGGCCTATGGCCAATTTGTATTTTCTGGTATGAAACAAAGTGCTACACGGAACTAAGTGCTACATTGTGAGTTACCTCTAGAGTCCGTGTGAGACACCTCTTGGGTTCATATATGCATGTCCAAAGGCTTCATGCCAATGTTTCAAGGGCCTTAGTGCCATATGTTACAAGGGCTTTATGCCACATGCTTCAAGGGCCTTAGTGCCACAAGTTTCAAGGGCTTATAGCCACCATGTTTATGTTGCAAGATTGAACTTAAGGCCGTTATGTACGTAGCACAGAATCAGACTAACTATGTGAACTCTACATCTTTATATGCATTGCTATGTGTTATGTTTCAATTTAAGCATCGTTTTATTTATGTATTACTATTCACTGAGCTTGGCTCACTCTGTCTAATGTCTGTTTCTGTAGGTAACCAACCAAGTGGTCAGTCCTAGTCATGACACCTGTTTTCTTTTGTCAACCTTCGTGGGTTCAGGCACTGCACGAAGCCATTTATTTTTGTAAAGTCTATTGAAATGTTGGCTTAATTTTGATTACCCATTTAAAGTTAAAGAGGTAGAACTTCAATGATTTTTATATAAGCCTAATGATGGGGCTGGGTCTGTACATATGGTTGTTTATCACCGATGCTACAACATATGGTTTGGAGCTTTATCTATTTTCCATGATGAATGTGATGTATAAGAGGTCCTGGCATGTAGATGTAGCTCAATGGAATTTATATGTATAGTTATTTTCCTACTTTATGCTTCCGATGAGGCCCCATATGTTATTTACTACATGTTATGTGTTCGTTTTCAAACGGGTCATGCCCAAACTTTTAGGGGCGGGTTTGGGGCGTGACATCGACACTTGACAAAAAACCAAACACACTCAGCCACATTTTTGGCCCCACTTTTTATGATTTTTGACTTTATATTTTTGTGTATTCTTGGACCCCACAACCTATTATATCCCTCCACTATAAGTAAAACCATCCCCTCTTATTTTCCTCACTTTTCTCACTGTCTCTGCCCTCTCTCTCTCTCTCTCTCTCTCTCTCTCTCTCTCTCTCCATTTTGGAGCTTCAAGCTTGGATTTCATTTATCTAGAAACAAGATCTACCTCTAGTACTTGAGGATAAGAGTTAGATCGCGTCGAGAGCTTTGTGTGAGACCGACTTGATTGTGTTTTCGTCATCGTCAAAATTTAGGTCTTCAACCTATCTCTCTCATCCTTGAGGTATGAGTTCTCTTAGCTTCGTATACCTATGTTTTGAAGTGATTGTGTATGAATTTGGTTAAGATCATGATGATTTAACTAAAATAGTTTTGATTTGAAGATGTTTATGAAAAATAAGGGAGTGTTCACTCAAGTTTTGAGATATTCTTTTAGATCTTTACTCGCATGTTTTAAAAATTGATGATTTTGAGATTTGTTGAAAGATGAGAGGAAAACCCCAAATTTTTGTAAAAACCCTAAGATGGAAATGTTGATTTAGAAGAAGGTTTTGAAATAAATTGATGGTTGTTGTGAAACTTAAGTTATGATTGTTTTGGAAATTCAAAATGCTGTTAAATAATTGAATCTTCATATTTATATTGCAAATTTTCATTGAATATGAAAGAATTGAGAACCTTGAAATGGAAATTATTATGTTTTGTTAATGGGAAGTGGTATAGAGTTGAAATGAAGAATAGAAGGAGTTGATGCTAACGATTTGAGAGAAGTTTGGAAATAATGAACTATGGATGATGATGATAGTCACACGAATTTTGGTAATATGGTTATGTTATTATTTAATTATTGTTTTAGCTTTCGTTGATAGAATTATATTGTGATTTACTGTTTAAACGATTATAATAGTTGCACATCATGCAGAGCATTGCATTTGCATGGTTTTGGACCAATGTCGAGTCTTTAATGAGATACCAGTTTTTTGGAAAAATATTTTGGAAATCAATGTATATTTTAGGTTCCCATTGCCCTGTTGTATAAAGTCAGCAAATGTGAGGAATATTGTTGAGTGCCCAATTCTCGCAAGCTTGATGATGGATAATATGGGGGATATTAGTGAGTGTTTAATTGCCCCTCCGTGCTTGATGCCAGTAAATGTTGAATTGTTTTCAGAAATTGTGTTTGAGAGGAATAACTTATTGTGTCTGGATGCTCGAGCATCACTTGTTGCGCTCGAACGGGCTGTGCGTATTTCAGTCCGTAAAAGTGACATTTTACTTCACTTTTTCATTTCATTCTCTCTCTAAACATTTCAAAAACCCTAGATTTAGAGCTTCTCTCTCTAAAACTCATTCTTTCTCTACATTTTCACCTAGATTTAGTGGTTTCTCTACCCGTGTGCCTTTGTTAAAAAGGTAGAACTTCTCAAGGGCTATGTTTCCATTCGAATATAGTTGGGTTTCGGCTTTATCCGAGTCTTTTCCTTGCTTTGCTCGTCTTCTAGCTTTGAGGTAAGGATTTTTTATGCTCCTATATGATTTTTAACTTAGTTATTTGTTTTGTATAAACACTATTATGATTTTGAAGGATTTTGAACAAACATAGGGTTTTGATTTAAAATCAAAAGAGGGGTTTACAAATGGATGTATTGAAAATGGTTAAAGGAGTGAATATGAGTTTATGTTATAATAAATTGTTGATTTTGTCACTTGGGTTGGATTTTAGAAGAAAATGCAGTTTGCCCTAAAATATCTCAAATATTTATTTTGTATAAATAACTGGAATTGGTATTGAAAATGTGAATTTGGATGGATGTTTATATAAATGGTGGAGTTAGATATGTATTATCACTCACCTATGGAAATTTAAATGGTTTATCTGTCTTAGAGATTGTATATCTGTTTAGAAATATCCGTTTTGGGCTACCGGTAGAGGATAGCTATGATTGTTGTAGAAGTTGCATGAGGATTAGGTGAATTGAAACTGATTTCTCATCCGTTGTCATTGAATACGACTATGTTTTTAAATACATTGTATATGTATGTGATTGTGAGAAAGGTGATGAATTTGAGAAGTAGGTGTGTAACACTGAAATTAAGTTGGCCTGTGTGTCCAGGGTGAAAGTCCTGAAAACCACACATATACATGGGTGTCGATTCCTGCGGACGAAATATTTGGAAAATGGCAAATAGAAGTGATTGTATGATGGTTGCACTGGTTGGAAACCTATTAAGTTGTATTCTTAGATTGGTTGTCTAAATTAAATAGAACTGATTTCATGAATTGAAATATACAGTTGGTACTACATGGTTTGCAAAATAATTATGAAACGGTTTATCAATGGCATTGTATATGCATATTACCCTTATATCTTCGTTAAGTTTCATATGTTGTATTGGAATATTTCTACTAGGCTTTGGCTCACCCTATATGAGAAAATCATTTACAAGTGTTGGTGATATGCCTTTGCCAAGGGCATAGCTTGGGAGGACCGTGAGGCTGAAGGCTTATCCTGTTATTTTGCTTTTATTTGTATTTTGAATAAGCCTCGGGCTTAGACTTGTATTGGATTGAGAATCCACATTTGTTGTACCCAAACAGTGACTTGGAAAGGTGTAAACCTTTAGGGCATATGATTACCTATTTAGCTTTAATTACATTATTACTGTTTGGTAACACATGTTGTAGATTCAAGATGTACTATTTATGAATGTATATCGTATGTGTCACTCTTTTATACAATCGAATATCATGTAATAGAAGGAGATTATACTCTGATTCACAATGTTATTTACTTATCGATGAGGATGATATATTGCATTTATTTCGGGGCGTTACAACTTGGTATCAGAGCATACCGGGTTTGAATATTTTGGGTACGTGGGAAGTAGTTATTACTACAATGGGTTTGTCTCGCTTGATAGAGACACTAGTATGTATGGTATGCTATGTGATAACATGGTTATATGATTATATGGGTATGCGATTTAATTCCTAAAATATTGATTGGGTCTACGGGTTTCTAGAAGTCCTGTTAAAAGAGCACTTGATTACTGCTATTTTTAATTGAAACTCTAGCAACACAGCAGGATGATCATTATCTAGGAAGGAAATTCGTATGTGTTTATGTGACTATGTGTTTACGTGGAGTGAATTACTTTTGTCCACTATATTAGGACGCAAGTGGATTAGATTCGGGACATTTGTAAATGTGCTAATCTCCTTTGTTATCTTCATTAGGATGTTAGGACGTGGACATGGTGGTGGTAGGCGTAGTAGGCCTAGAAGGCATGAGGTGCCTTTATCGGATGATATTTCGGCGCAAGAAGAAAGGGTTGGTCAGGCCGATGTGGTCAGCATGCCATTGGCACCTTAGCTTGCGAAATGGCTAGAGTATTGCGGGAATCTATGGACATTCTCAGGGCTGAGAATCAAGTCCAAGCCCAAGCCCAAGTAGCTGAGGCAGGGCCGTCATTCATGAAACGAGAGTTTTTTTGGTCGAATTTGGAAGAGTTTTTGGGTGATCCCAATGAGCCACTGAAGGCGGATGAGTGACTAGAACAGATAATGAAGACGTTTGAGATGCTTGGCATCGAGGATGATGGACTGAGAGTGATCCTGACATCTTTCCAGCTGAAGGGAGATGTTGGTCAATGGTGGAAGTACGAGTGTGGGCCCATTAGAGTGACTTGGGAGGCTTTTGTCAATGTCTTCTAAGATAAGTTTTTGCCTCATCCCACTGTTAGGGAGAAGTTAAGGGATTAGTTTTCTCAGCTCAAGTAATTGAGCACATCGGTGGTCGAATTTGAGGCCGCAATTACTAGTTTGTCGAGATTTGCACCGGAACTCGTGGCTAGTGAGGAACGCCGTTGTTTAGAGTTCGAGAAGAGGTTGAGGACTGGGTTTATGTTCAAAGTGACTGGGTCAATGAATAGAGATTATGGACGCCTTATGGAGGTGGCGACTTATCTTAAGACCATGATGCAGATGGAGGAGGAAGAACGGATGAGGGGCTCCGGGAGGAGTCAGGATGTTCAGTGGGATAGTAAGTGGCAGAGGGGTTTTAACCTACAGTAGTCCCAGGGAGCATAGTCGAGGTCCACTTTTCCAGTGCCGAGTTTTGGTTCTAGGAGAGGTGGTCAGGGAGATTTCACTTGCTTCAAGTGTGGTCAGTTGGGCCATAAGTCTCCAGCTTGCCCGCAGAGAAGATGAGGGCAGCAGTCAGCATTGTCTTCAGCTTGCTCTTAGAGCCAGAGCCAGGGAAGAGGGCAGCTGCTCACTTGTTATTAGTGTGGGCAGGCAGGGCACATGAAGAGGTTTTTTCCTCAGTTGGGTGGCATACTTGGTGCGTCTGGTTCGAGGCAGACATAGAGACATCTACTTACTCAGTCAGTTTAGGCCTCGAGGGCCAATCAGGGAGCCTCTTCAGCTCAATTTGTGCATTAGACCTATGCTTCGAGGGGTGAGTAAGTAGACCAAAAACCAACTAGGCATGTGTATATTGTTATCGCCCTAGACTTAGTGCTAGCGCCTTCGGTAGTGAGAGGTACTTTCTTGTTATGTAATTCTATTACTAATGTGTTGATTGATACGGGTGCATCCCATTCATTTATCTCGTCTGCATTTGCATCGACTTTGGGGTTAGAGTTGACTCGGTTAGTATCTCCTCTCAATGTAGAGTCACCTATTGGTGGTGAGATTATTTTGAAGCAGGGGTGTCAGGATTGTGACATAGAGGTTTCCGGTCACTGACTTCCTTTTGCATTTGTGTTGATTGACATGTCTAGTTTTGATGCTATTTTGGGTATGGACTAGT